CGGGCTCCCGTAGTTCCCGGCTTTGGCAAGCGGAGCTGGAGGGAACGCTCGGCCGCGTGACTTGGGGACGGGAGTTGCGAAGCGGTGGCTGGTGTGGGGCGCACCCCACGGGGGGCGGGGGGAACCCCCGAGTTTCAGGAACAAGTTACCAGCCCGGACATCTCCCAGAGTCTTAGGGAAACCTGTGCTGTCTGCAGAAGGGGGAGATCCCCAGACACGTGGAAAACCCGTCTCAGCAGAGCTGGGATACAGCCCTGACAATTAAGTGTATTCTTAGGAGGAAAAAAATTTTACTCTGCTATTTACATTTAAGAAATTATAACCAGGCCGGCCGGTGTGACTCAATGGTTGAGCACAGACCTATGAGCCGGGATCACGGTTTAAACCGTCAGGGCACATGCAGGGGTTGTGGGGGGCCTGCAGGAGGTAGCTAGCTGATCAATGCTTCTCATCATTGATGTTTCTATCTCTTCCTCTCCCTTCATCTGAAATCAGTAAAAATATAAAAATAATTATAATCAGGAAAAACCATAAAGTTTTTATTAAGAAAGTTTCTTAGTGTAAAATCCACTTTTAATATTAAATAGGATAAGATGCTCCTAATCCAAGAGTCTATTCGATGAACACTACAAGTGTAGTCCTCTCAAATGTATTTGCTTGCTGTGCATCTCTATCTTTACAGGTAAAAGCCATAAACTACCAGCTATTTAAATGAAAGGAGTAATTACACAGGAAAATAAAAATTTAGAGAATTTTATCATTAGCTCTCACTAAAACAAAATCGAACAGAATAAAACTTAAGAAACCTTTTTATCAGTGCATTCATTACACCTTTTTCAGAACAAGTATAATTTACAGAAATCATACAAGGCAACTTTAAAAATATATATATATATATATACATATATATGTATATATATCAATATATATTGATTTTAGAGAGGAAGGGAGAGAGAGAAACATCAATGATGAAAGAGAATCCTTGACCGGCTATCTCCTGCATGCCCTCACTGGGGATCAATTCGGCAACCCAGGCATATGCCCCCAACTGGAATCAAACCTGGGACTATTCACTCCACAGGCCGACACTCTTATCCACTGAGCCAAACCAGCTAGGGCATAGAAGGCAACTATTAATAAAAAATCAGTACTTAGCAATATTTTGTTTAGCTGAAATGTTATTTCAATTGTAAAAACTATCTCCGGTTACAAAAATAATCAAAAACCTTATTGAATTTCACTTGCTTTTACAAATGCCCCAAGAAGTCTTAAGCTAAACAATAATTTAAGTAGAAAACACTAATTTTTAAATAGTTTGGTATACTATTTCTGTGGTTTATGTACATATATTACCTGGTTTCTTTTATAGGAAACCTGACTAGAAGTTGATCACATTAAGCATTGTTAAATGCAAGAGCTAATCACCTTTTAACAAAAATACTCTATAAGCAACAGTTGCAAGTATCAAAGATATTTTTTAATGGTTGATAATTAACTGCTACAAAATATGAGACAAAATACATTTACTGGATTGTTTTTCTGAGTGCAGTGGCCCTTTGGCTCCCAAAATGAGGATTCCCCATAAATAAAAATCACAAAGCAATTCATGTAGTGGTTATCTTAGGCCAATGCCTTTCTCCCCCTTTCTACCTCCACCCCTTCAGTGGCACCATATTATTAAAAACAGTAGGTACCTGGGATTTGTACCCCAGATAAGACATCATTTAGGCAATTTCAAGTGATGTACAGCTCCTCATGTAAAAAAGATGTTCTGTGGTCACAATTACTTCAAAAAGTAATTATATTCAAATAACCTGGCAGATCATATTTTAGCAATTACAGAACCATAATTCTGACACATGGCAATTTACAAGTCAGACAAATGTGAAATGCTAAAAGATGTGAACAGCTGCTCTTCTGTTTAAGTTCAGAGTGCTGAAAAATTTCGGTAATGACTTTATTTTTTCAGTTAACATAACCGGCCCACAATACAGCATATAGGTCATAAAGTATAAATCTATGGAAGGTAATATCTTCACTAAGTTACAAAACTTTGGCAAATCAATACAGTACTCTTTCAGAGAATAAAGATGCAGTTAAATATTACTTGAGTGATAATTTTAACTCCAAAAATGTCATTTAAGTACCAAATTAAAACACTGGTTTTTAATGGTGGTTTATAGCAAGCAGAGCAAGTTATTTTATACAAATTTATATCTTTTAAAACTATACAATTTCTCCTTTGAAAGTGAATTCCCTCTTGAAGTTTCCCACAGCAGAACAATTGTGTCTATTGGAGGTGGCTCTGCTTTGTCCTGGGGTTGGTCCAAAGCCAGGTAGAGTTCCAATGCATGAAAAGCTTTAAAATTAAACCCGAAGGAGACTTAATATGCTATCACCAATTTCCAAGTACCATTCAAAAATTGTTAAATTCTCACATAACTATGGAATCTTCAAAACCAGAGTAATTTCAAACAACACTAATTTCAGATGTTCCCTTTTATGTAGAAACACCGTACCTCCTTGTTTTGATCAAGTCACATACCCTTTCTTCAGCTTATTAAAAAAAATTCTACCTAAAATATAGTTTTTAATGTATTTTTTAAATAACAATAAATATAATGCCAGCTAGTAGAGATCTGGGGGACTGGGTGTTGTATACCACTTTCATCATTTCTCTACAAATGCTGCTGCTGCCATTGGCGTCCTCATGCTTCCTCTTGCTGAAGCCGTCAATTCTTCAATCTCAGCATTTAATTTATGTATTACCCATTCCATTGCTTCTCGGCCCTTAAAAATAATCCAATACATTTATTGTTACTGAGTGAGACCAAAGGCATCTATCAAATAAATGGAACACCAGGAAGTAGCAGGGGGCATTACAAGTCTAACCAAACCTCACCAGGACAGATCATTTGCTGCTTCTTCCTGATGTTATTTACCAAATAACAAATGCCTTGAGCAACTGACATGCTCCATAAACTAATTTTTATTTTGTATGCAAAAGATGTTCTCCAAAGAATCTATAATGAAGTGACAGTGATGTTTCATTTATTTCATGATTAGAGTAGTGACCTTTTTGGGGGTGAAGCCAAACCCCCTTTTTCTTCTTATGTATTTGAAACCAAGATCCTATGTAAGTGCTAAACCAAAGATTTAAACCAAAATCCTGAGAGATCTGGTCCCTGGCTTCCTCAACCATTCTCTCCTGGCACACTATGCTCTGTGCAGTCCCGTAAGGAGAAACAGCAGCAGCACTTCAGTTTTCCTGCCTCAGGGCCTCTGCACACTCAGCTCCTGTCTGAGTGTGCAGAGGCCCTGCACATCCCTCACAACCATGGCACCCCTCATGCAGCTGTCACCATCACTCACCGAATACACATTAAACACTCTCATACCTTCCTGCACTTTTCCTTTTCTAACGATACACTGCAATGAATGTTGCCTTTCTTAGTTCTACATGGGGCAGGGACCACATTTTTTTATTTCCAGATGTATCCCCAGTCTAGTCTCATACCCTGTCTGGAACAAAGCGGGTGTCTATCTGTGAATATCTTCTGACTGCTGAATGATTACATTAAGTGTTATAGAACAGCGCACTAAGCATCCTTTTCTCTAAACTTAGTTTAAATCATGTGTTCTCAATGGGGCAAAAATTAGCTGGGTTGGTGGAAAAAATCTACCTTTTTATGTATAAAGCATTATCTATCAATTAACTACACAGGGTAGGGTGATCAGAAAAAGATGTCTAAAATGGATCTGGGACGGGGGAAATGATAATGAAAAACGGTTGAGAATTGGTGCTTTAAACGACATGGCACCACGTAATCAAGTATTTCCCACATGCTGGGCCCTGGGCCACACACTTTCCATGTTATCTCATTAACTCTTCATGCCTACCCCTGTGAGATGGACAGTTAACCTCCACTTCATAGATGGTAAACTAAGGCATAGAAAGGTTAACTTAACTGAGCAAGGCTGCTAAGAGTTAGAGCTTGGGCCCGGACACCAAGCTGTGCTGGGCCCCAGAATCTGTGCAAGTACAGCTTACATGGATTCTCATTGTATCATGGCTGAAAATTGGCTTGTGAGGACAAACACATGCTCACCGCTAAGCTCTTCCAAAAACAAAACCCAGGAATAACAGTAACCAGGGGGCAGCCTCACGTACTTTACTAGCATTTGAAGATATCGTGCTCGCCATCAGCCCTTCCAGGTAACTACTGAGGCTCACTCCTTTCACAGTGATGATGGCCTCTTGAGTCAAAACAGTTCTGGAACAAAACAAATTCACACAGTTTCAGAATGATCTAACTTTCATTTTTTAAAATAATATTTGGTAAAAGAATTAAAACACCTGTAAAATAAGTTTGTTAAACCATTTTTTACTTACCTTTCTGGGTCCTGAGGATGTGGTTTATATATAAGTCTCTCATCTACTGAAACCATATTTGTAAATGAAATCTATAGAAATTAAAAAAAAAAAATTCAGTTCATGTGGGAAACCAGGACTAAAAACATTTCCAAAATTAAGTCACAAACCCAAATTTTGTATACAGAACAAGAACAAATAAACCACTTTGATATTACTGTGTAGACAAAATTTAAATTTCATTCTTTTTATTAAAAATAATAAATTTGACAAAAGCATTGTACGAGTACTAACACACAGAATCCCAAGTCATTTTACTGAGTGCTAGCCCCTACAAATGCTAAGTAGGCTCACTGAGTGGTGAGGCTAAGCTGCAAAAAGGCAAAGGCAGCAGAGCATGTGAGTGCTGACTGCCTAAACGCCCACACAGAGCTAGATTCATCTCTTCAACACTAGGAGTGACAAAAACTTAGGCCAAATAGTTTAAAATAAGACAAAAGGAAGCCAAAACTTACATTAGTGGATTTAAGTTCCATTGTTTTCTCTACAGGATCAACTACAGAATGTTCTTGCACATATGTTTTGGTTCTTGCCGCACCAATCAGCTAAATAAAACATCCACAATTAGTAATCAGAGGAGGAAGGATTTCTTAACAAGTGTGTCAATATTTTATTTGAAAGTAAAATGTGTTAATGTCTTGAACCAAAAATCTGTTTCGTAAAAAACAAAACAAATCCATGAGGCATCAGACAAAGGTCAGAATGGAGGCCCATCTGAGATACCAGGAACTCACACCCCGTGGATAAGATGAGACGCCACACAACACCCTGCCCAGAGGCAATGAGCAAGCACCCACTGAGCGCACTGCAGTGATGCCGGATGCCGGACCTGCCAATGGCCAAGGAGCAGGGGCTGAAACGTGGGACTCAGAGGGTCTGGGAAACATGGCATCTGGAACAAGGAGAGCTCAGAGCACCAGTCAGCACTTTCCTAGAGCCATCCAAAGGAGACGGTGCAACGGCCTCATTCTCCAGGCAGGAAACAGCCACGTCATGAAGGAGGACATCACACCCAGTGAGTGTCACTCCCCGTGCCCTGCCCCAAGCCAATCACCCAATCTCCTCATTTCTGGGCCCCCATTACCTAATGCAGTGGTTTGTACAAAGGAAGCAATCAGTGCCTTCCTGTTGCAAACGGTGTACTTTTGTTTACCTTCTAGAAAGGGAACTTCTACTAAAAACTGGATCCACTTATCATACCATAGTTTCCCACACTATAAACTGGCATTCCAGTTTCTTACTGGTTAAATTGAATCACTAAAGCCTGCTTGCTTGAAACTGAATAGAACTCTGTTTTGAAATGTATGGAGAGGAGGCCCAGATCTTGGAACGATGTGGCAACAGCAAGGCCAAGAAAATGCTGTTCTCTTCATGTGCATGAACCACCACTGACCACACAACTGTCAGCTAACAATCCCCTCCAAACCATTATTTCCAAATCTTACTGTTGGTCTCAAGTTGCTGGCAAAAACAGGAAAAGTAGGATATTCCTCATTTTAAACTACAGAGCATTAGCTGGCTTCCTTCAGAAAGTTTTATCAGGTGCCTTCATGAAGACTGTAATAATATTTCCAATTCATTATACACTCATAAGTCAAGTTTATTATAATACAATTTGAACTGATGAAAAAATGACATTCAGAATCTGCTCCCACAGCCTATTTGAAATTATAATGTGGTTTGGAAAACTTCTCCCCAGCAGTCACATTTCTGCAGGAATAAAGACACACTTACAGATTTCACAATGGAAGGCAGGCCCCACTCTGTGCTGAGCAGTCTATGGCTGTGCAACTTTCCAGAAGGATCTACATGTCTGTCCAATACATCGACTCCAACCACACTTGGGTTCATAGGATTTGGATATTTCTGCATTGCGGCTGTTGTAACAGTTTCCCATGGGTGGCTGCAACATAAAGCACAATCAAACATTTAAAAATATACCTTTAAATTAAGCATTTTATAACCCATCAAATTATTCTTTGCAATTGAAGTTTAATATACCTAGGGAAAATTTTCTCAAAAGATGAGTTTAGGGGCTCAATCTAAATTTTAAAAATATACATTTTGGTCTTTTTTCAGCACAGGTTATATGGTACAATTGATTTCTATAAAGATTAAAAAAAAAGATTAGAATAGCCTACGGAGCATCACAGTACAGGTTCTTAAATAATCTTTCCTATTTACCCATGTCTATTTTCACATGAAATTTTGTTTCTAAGAACCAAATTCATAAAAATTATATTCTACAGAATCAAGCAACAAAAATGATACCATTTATCTTTTTGTCTGACCCCGATTATACAAAGCTACAAAGTAACGAGAGTAAAGACCTTATTTGCCCTGTAAATTCTTAGTGATTACAAAGATTCAAAACATTACTGATTTAAATACCATATTAAAAATGTATTTTTCTCTACATTAAGGTAATAAATAACAGTGACCCCCCTCCAATCAATCTTGATCCATTGCTTTGCTCCGAGGAGTGGTTCTGGTTGGCTTTGAAAAGATAATAAAATGTTTTTAAGATGCTGCTAATATGCTATTTCTTAATATATTAAGATTTGCTTATCTTCTAGGATTGAAATGGAACCTGCAGCATCTTCATCTCTTGAGAAAGCACATGTGCCTGGTGATTCAAACATGATGTACATTCGTTCACTCTACAACTTATGTGAATAGGAGGCTGTACAAAAGACATCCTTTTCAAAGGAGCCCTCATGAACTACACTGAATATGAAAGGTGACTTAACTTTCAGAGAACCAAGTCTGACAACTACTTCACATCGACAGAAGGAAAATCTCAAAACCCTGGACAACCAGTGACATTATTTGGAACTAGAGGCCTGGTGCATGAAAATTTGTGCACTCATTGGGGGGGGGGGTCCCCTCAGTCCGGGAGCCCTTGGGTGATGTCCCACTGATGACGTTGGGGGGGGGGGTCCCCTCAGTCTGGCCTGCGCCCAGTCCGGGAGCCCTTGGGGGACGTCCCACTGATGAGGAGCGGGCCTAAACCAGTCTGGCCTCCCTCTGTGGGAGGTGACGGGTGGGCCCATTGGGGGAATGGCACTGCCTGGTGCATGCCTGGCCCCGCACCCCATTGCCTGGTCACCACTGTCCCCCGATCATCATCCCCTCCCTGTGCCCACTGGCATCCGCCTTGGCTGGTCTGGCGCTGCCCGCTTGCCGGCCCCAACCCCCCGCCAACCAGTCATTCCGACATTTGGTCGATTTGCATACTAGGCTTTCATTATATAGGATGTTTTATTTTATTTTATTTTTTAAAATATATTTTATTGATTTTTTACAGAGAGGAAGGGAGAGGGATAGAGAGTTAGAAACATCGATGAGAGAGAAACATCGATCAGCTGCCTCCTGCACAC